CGGCCGACGCGGCCCGGAAGGAACGAGCCCTCGAGTCGCCACCGCCCCCGGCGCTGGCTTGCGGTGGCGGAGGCTCGCAGGGTGACGAGGAGGCGCACGCGTCGTCCTCGGCAGCAGAGGAGCTCTCCCCGGCCCCCTCGGAGAGCAGCAAAGCCTCGCCCGAGAAGGACTCCCTGGGTAAGCGGGGCGCCCCGCGTGGGGCAGGCAGCCGCCGGAGGCCGGAGCCCGCGCGCAGCAGCCGGGCGGCCTTGGCCCGAGCTGCAGGCAGCCTGACCTTGTGAACTTGCTTTTTTAATATTTGGGCGTGAGGACGCAGTAAAAATTCATGTCCGGCTTAGCGCCGCACACCAAGAGTTCGCCCAGGCTGGGGGGCGAGGCAGACGCCTGTGAGCAGCCCCCTCTGGTCCATGCCCTTCTCCATGACCCGGAGCCCCCCAAGCGGCGATGGTGTCCCAGCCTGCGCGGCGCGGCCCACACGGGGGGGAGGGGGAGGGAAAGTGGCTCACCCACAGATAGCGCGGATGTTTGCAAGGCATCCAAAATAAGCAGCCGCCAGCGCCAATAAATAAGCCCATTAACCAGCGAAGTTCGAGTTTACGATCCCCCAAGCTTTTTTCAAAGTTGCTGGAGGGGCGGGAATGCTCAGGGCGGGGGAGAAGAAAAGGCAAATCCGGTCCGGACGCCACCCACCCTAGTTGAGGGCCAGAGAGGGGCCATTTCGTTTCCCGTGAAGTTCTGGAGTCGCCCTGAATGCACTATGCTTCAGGCTCATGGAGCGAGGAGAAGGCGGTTCGTAGATTCCAGAATCGTGTTTGGGTGGCTATCCCCAAGGCTCCACTATTGTCCATCTTGCCCCCTTCGCTGGGGTTTGAGCTGCCAGGGGGTGGCGGTGAGATACAGACATGCTGTTTACGCCCCCCCCCCCTTCAACTAAGTAAACACTTGAGCCCCCAGCCCAAGAGAAGCGGGAAATGCTTGTCTGGTGGCTCTGGGAGGGTAAGCCAAGGAAGGCTTTACTTTCGATATACAGGCTGCCCTCCCAGGCACTGGCTCTGCAAACGCTAGAAGCTTTATGCTAAAGCAGGTGTTTGGTTTTTTGTGGCGGGGTGTGGGTGTGACAGCAGAGGAAAATGTCCATTGGAAAGGTTGGAGTGAGCTGAAGGCCCACTAGATTTGGAACAAACCTTTTGCTTGTCTTCTGCCAGCCAAAGGGGTGGGGTGGGCATAACTCTCTCGGTGACTTAGGGCAACTCTCTTTGGAGAGAGACATCCTCAAGGCACTCCCTGTGGAGCCTAGACTTAACCTTCTCCGCTTCCTGCTCTTTAACTCCAGGCAGTTCTAAAGGGGAAAACGCAGCCAACTGGCTGACCGCGAAGAGCGGCAGAAAGAAGCGCTGCCCCTACACCAAGCACCAGACGCTGGAGCTGGAGAAGGAATTTCTCTTCAACATGTACCTTACTCGAGAGCGGCGCCTAGAGATCAGCCGCAGCGTCCACCTCACAGACAGACAAGTCAAAATCTGGTTTCAGAACCGCAGGATGAAACTGAAGAAAATGAACCGAGAAAATCGGATTCGGGAGCTCACAGCCAACTTTAATTTTTCCTGATGAAGCTGCAGGCGACGCCGGGTTTTATGTTTGGTTGTTGTTGTTGTTGTTTCCGCCTCCAGGGTCCCCTCCCTCTCTCTGTCTTCGACCTCAACCCGCACCTGTGCCGGAACCCCACTCCTTCCTCCCACTCGTGCCATCTCGCCTGCCCACCCATCTGTGCACGCCTGGGCTGGTTTGTTGTGACTTTTTGGTTTTGTTCTCTTCGTTTGCTTGGTGTTGGATTATTTGTTGTTTTCCGGGGGAAAAAGCCATATCGTGCTAAAATTCTATAGAGATAATAGCGTCCTAAATGTCAAGTGCTGACTGGTCCGGTTTGCTGCCTTGGGGTCCCGTTCCCCGCCCCCTGCCCCCCACCCCCGCTCAGCCGCTGGAAATAGCCCTTTCCTGGCCAGTCCTGGGTAAACCTAGCCGCAAGGCCGAGGTCCCATTGTCGGCATGGACGTGTCTGGCCTGAGGTCAATGGTGCAGGATTCACCACAGGGATGGCCTGCCGTGGGTACTGGGTTGTGGATAGTCAGGGGCTACAAGCCCCCAGTTGATTTTTCTTTCTACCTTTCCTCCCTCACAAAGAGGAGGGCTTAAAAGCATGGGCATGCAGGTTGGCAAAAGGCTTTGACTTTGCCTGATGGGCAGATGGAGAAAGAAAGACTCAGAAAGATTCATTTTTCCATCCTCTGTAAGATATCCAAGCTTTAAAAGAAACAAACAAATGAACAACAACAACAAAAAGAAAAAGACCAGGAGAAGGAAACTTCTCTTCCAATTTTTGTATGGTCTTACGTTGCTAAACCCAATGATTTCGCTTACCTCTGAATTGCCTGCCATATCTTTCTGGATGTAGATAAACAATCTAATGTAGTTTTCTTTATACATGTGGATTCATTGGTTTTGGTACTTTTTGTCATGAAATACTTGTTACCACTGGTAACACTCGACAAGCACACTGCAATCAATAGTCCCTTCCTGTAGAGTTTTTGTTTGTTTGTTTCATTCACTTTTATTTTTAAATTTCTGATATTCATGGAATACCAGGAGGGCGGGGGTGGGGAGCCAGTGGAAGAGACCAGAGAAAGGGAGACGTTGTTGGAATTTCCTTTATACTGTGAAGTTACATGCATAAAAGGGTCAAACCTGTAGGTGCAGAAAAAGAAAAACTATAAATACAAATCTGTATAAATGTCTATTATTATGAAAAATTGCCAATCTTGTTTGAAGCAAATGCATTCTATGGTTATTATAAATGTTAGTTTTAGCTCTATTCTAATCTAAAATCAGAATAAATTAATATTGTAATGCTGCTGTGCGTGGAAAAAAAGACGATGTTTATGTTCTTATAGAAGAATAAAAGCTGTGGAATGAAGCTTTTAAATTTTACCTCTTTTTTGACTTTTTATCTTCACCTTCTACTCTACACCCCACCACCACCACCACCACTTTTACAACAGGGCTAGCCTGCGCCCCCTGCAATTACTTTAGTCATCTATTTAAATATTACCTAGACGGTCGTAATTTGTCTGGGCCCTATAGCCCTGGTGCCCTAAGGTTTGTCGGCTTTTGTTCAGTTTTATGACTTGCTAGTCTATCTGGATTGTGGCTGTCTTGGACCAGTGGTTTCAGTTCAGAGAAGAACTGCATAGATAGAGGAAGCCTAATAACATTGCTTTTGGGGGCCTAGAGGAGGCCTGTAAAAGCCGGTTATTTTGGGGGTTTCTCATCTAGGATGACCCCTAGCCTAGGGATCCAGGAAGCAGGCCGGGTCTCCAGCGTCACTAGCATTCTCTGCAGCCACAAGGTGGACCCAGGCCGGACCTCTGGGGCCGCCCCCTCCCCCAGCTCGGCCTCCCCCCACCTGGAGACTCTCCTCTGGGCCACACGTTTCCTGCCCGCCAAGCAACCCCCCCCCACATTATACGGGGGGGGGGGGGGGCTGGCGCAGGAGCGCGCAAGCGGGCATGCAGGAGGAGACGGAGAACGAGCGCGGGAGGAGGCCGTGGCCAGTCTGGGAGTCCGGCTAGGTGCTGGCTCAGGCGCTGCCTAGGCGCCCCCGTCTGCCCCTGCTCGGCGCCGGCTTTCTGAGCTGCAGGACGTGGGAAACCAGGACCGCTTCTGGCCTCTTGCCTGCCTTCCTTTTTCCTCTCTCTCTTCTCTTGGCCTTTCCTTTCTCCCTCCCTCCTCTCCTTCCTCCCTCTCCCAGGCTTACCCTCCCGGGACCCCCGGGCTTCTCTCTCGGGGGCTTAGGTTGCAGTCGGGGACTTGTGGCGGCAACGGCGCAGGGTGGCGAGGGGCCTGGTCGGGCGGCGCGATCGCGGGTCTTATCTCCTTGGCGGT